GATACATCAAATCCGTCCCTACATCTAAATTATATGAGCGAGACAGGTAAACTAGAACATGACGAGAAATTAATTGAAATGAAATATTCCGTATTTGGGTTTGGTTGCACATAGGAGGAAACAGCTATAGTAGTACTGTATTTTTATGGGAGTATTAGTTTCCTATCTTTTATATCAAGATTTTTTATACAAGGATGTTCTAAATTATACGGAGTAATGATTTTTTTTGTTAGATCCGTTTATATCTAGTCTACTTTAGTTGATGTCTGAATTATGTGCAGTCTTTTGTCTATTTAAATTTGATATGGTCTAGCCTGTTCAAATTTGATCTAATATGTTTAAGTTTGATCTAATTGGATCTCAAACTGAAATAAATTCACATAAAAACATTTTTAAAATGTACAAATTATCACTTTATTTTAAACCTAACTTGCCTTTTATTACCATAAAAAACTCACTTTTCATTTATTTTTTATATTGAGTCCCGTGTAGGGGTTTAGAAAGGCTTTGTCATAAACACAAATCCATTAAAAGTCACACCTTCTCATCATTTTTGCCAATAACATTTGTTTGGTTAACAAAAGTTTTTATTAAAGTCATTCCTATTCTAAGTCATACTTTATCATCATCATCATTTTCATTTACCCCAGTGCCGCAAAAGGCTCGCACCTACGGTGGTTGGTGGCGTAAGGGGGGTCGGATGTACGTAGTCTTACCCCTATACTAAAGCATAGAGAGACTGTTTCCGGATGACCCATAGTGAAAATCGCGTCCAAAATTGCATGGACTGACTGCTGCTTCATTACAAAGAAGCGCATACAGTTTAGTGAGCTATTTTACTTTATTCCATCATAATCAAGTCATACTTTATCATAAATCATTATTTTCATACTCTCACTTCCGAAATAAACTTGTTTTTAACTTTTTGTTTATCTCATCGTGAACATTTGTGCCTTTATTTCTTTATAAGTATTTATCACACAATTTTCACTTATATATTTTTTGTACTAAGTGAAAACATTACACTTTGATGGGTTTGTAGGTACTGTCACAAAAGATGTAGCACAAAAAAATCTACCATATAGTGCAATTAATTACTCAAATCATCGTTTTTTTAGAAAAAGAAAAATCCATTTTTTTTCTTTTTTTGATAGTCTAGATGTCGGTGATTGTGCTCCCTAATTCTGGAGTCTATGGACTATCTTTCAAAGCCTCTAGACAGTCAACTCCGGATATTATCACAGTCACCATTCGTTGGTACTGGTATCACAGGACGAATCCAGCAGAACTTTCATTCAACTGAATCCAGAAGGGTCCTCCTACTATGCGGAGCTTCCTTTCAACCGTATCCAGAAGGGTCCTCTCATCACGCGAACTCGCGATCTGAATTTTCCATCCGCTCCCTTCTAAGCCGTTGTGCAACTCCATTAAGGTAGGAAGAATTATTGGCGGGTATTTCCGTACGTTCCTCCCAAAACGGAACAAGATCTCCTTCCATTTTTTTCTTATTGGAGGGGCCGGTGAGTGGCTGCACAAATCAAAGATCCAAATTACAAAGATTTTCAAGATTCTGATACCCCATTCATGTCCTTTTGTATTTACCTGATTTTGGTTCCCAACTTTCAACGTCATCTACCAGCCATATATCTTCCTACTTCGATCTCATATCTTTTTATAAAACTCTTGCACCGATCATCAATATATTCTTCTTGTTTCCATCGAACCCGATTCTCTCCTAATCCTCCAAATTTATACGTACTAATATATTCCATGCATATCTTTGAAGAAGAAATAATCATCTCTTGAAATTAAAGCAAATCTCTACTCCATATTTATGGGTTATTCTATATTTCTGGAACGTTTTAAACGATCAAAATTAAAGGTTGTTGAAGGGATCAACATAGATATAAGTATTCTGGATTCTTAAAGAATTGAATACTAATTTAAGCAATGCGTGTTGAATTATATTGAAAGAGAAGAATCAAATTGTTGAGGACAATATACTTCCAATAAATATACTCTTTTCAAAGAATAATTTGAAACTAAAAGGCACCACTCAAATGTTTAAAATCGACTACTTTCAACTTTCCTTTTTCGTCCGTCCAAAAAAAAACTTCATTTTCCATTTTTGGCAAAGAATTTATGTTTCACAACAATTCTTACACATTCTTACACATTTCTCATTCATCTGCACAACTCTCCACCACACAATTCTCACTTTCTTAATCCGTGTGCCATTTGTACTACGGAAAAACGTTTAGGGACGGAGGGAGTATTATCATTTATACTTCCTCCGTCCCATTTAAATTTTTACACTTTCTTTTTTTGTGACATCCCATTTACTCTTTTACGTTTCCTTTTTAGGTAACCCCTTTTACATTAAATGTCTTAATCACCCTTCATTATTCACTCACTTTTTTACATTTGAGTGGATAACATTAATCCCTCCAAAAGTCAAACAGCGTGCCAGACATCCGTTCTTCTATTAATTGAGCTTATAAAATACCATGCCAAAAACAAACGTGAAGTTCTATCCAGGTCGGAGGGAGTATAAACGAATCAAAGCTTTGCCTTTTGATTTAGTGAAATCCATGACAAATGACATGTTTTTTCTATGGTATAAAGCTACTTCAAATCTCCATTCGAATTCATATGATCGATAAGATGAATATAGTACGTAAGAAACATCAATTGCAACAAATCAAATATTTTCAAATATATTATTAGACCAATTTAGTAGATAAATAAAAAAAAGTTTTTTATCAATCCAGGACTTGAAAGATAGACGAACTATCAATTCGGGACCTGAAAGATGAAATGTATCAGTATAGGACCCGAATGATGGAAAATTATCAATCTAGGACCCGAATGATTGAAAATAATCAATTTAGGACCTAAGTTTTCATAAATTTTATTATTATTTTTATTTTAAAAAATTTAAATAATATTTAGTTTTATTAAACTAATAAACTTTTGTGAAGAAAATTTCACCAAATATTAGCAATGGAATTAATAAAAAATTAAATAAATCAAAACCTATGAAATGTTAGGTCCTAGATTGATAGTTTTTCATCTTTCGAGTTCTATACTGATACATTTCATCTTTCATGTCCCAAATTGATAATTCGACCATCTTTCAAGTCCTAAAATTTCAAAAGAAATGACACACCGGACAGGGAATTATTTATAAATTAAGAATGATTTTGCGTGGCATAATATAAGCTAACAAGTTCGACACAATCATTTCAAGAGTCTAAAATCAAAAGTTGGATTCAAACTGCAATGAGAAATTTACATTACATGACGTATTATGAAAAAACGTCACAAAATAAATTGATTTTTTGCTATAACAAAGTTCGACACAAGCATCTCGTTTTGCTATTGCATGCTACTCCATATTAGATAGTGACTTTTTTTAAAATCTCGACAGTAATTTTTTGTACTTTATTACTTACCCAATCATGTTCTTTTGTCTCAAATTGATTAAATCAACCCATTTTGTTGAAAGCGATAAAATTCTTGGTAAAACAGTTGACTGCATTTGCTAAACTAGAGTTGTTAACGAATCGAGCTTTTATCGAACTATTTGAGTTCGAGCTCGGTTTCGAACCTAACGAGTCGAGTTTAACGAGCTTTCGAACTCGAACCCGAGCAAAATTTTAAGTTCGAAAAATTAATCGAGCCAAGCTCGAACATAGTAGTTTTCGGCTCGGTTCGAACTCGAGCCTATCGAACACCCTTGAATTATAAAAATAATTTATATATATTCAAAATTTAAATATAATTAGTATAATTTTATGAATTTAAATATGATTATTAACGAACTGAATACTTGTCGAATCATTCGAGCACGAACTTATTAACGAGAATCACCTAAAATTTCAAAATCGAGCATATATATCGAGCGCTCGACTCAAACATCGAACGACTATCGAACCGAACACGAGCTTCATTTGCAAAGTTCACCGAGCTTCGAGCTCGAACCTGAACACCCCTAATTCCTTATCGAGCCAAACTCGAGCTTTGGGGTGTTCGGGCTCGGTTCGACTCGTTAACAGCCCTATGCTAAACTATAAAAAAATTATATTTCCCCGGCATGTGTCCATCACTGAGTGATTGATGAAAATGTTGGTGGATATATCTAAATTGCTTTCATACATGCCAAGCATAATCATATTTCATTCCTCACAATCAATATTCTTATGTTTCATGTCATACATAAAACATTCTTTAAATATTTTTGCGAACTATTGTCTCAAACTTAATTTTAATTTGTAATGCCAGTCTGGTAACCGTACTATTTAAAGATTATTTTGAATAGATCCTTACTATTTAATGATCAGTATTAATAAGCACTTGTTTCAATTCTAACTTTAAACTTACGCGTTCTGAGTTGCTAAATAATGAAAAAAACACCACATTTGAAATGCATGCATTTCTAAATGCTACTCCGTATAAATGTAGAGAGTCGTTATACGAGTAGTTCTTTTATTTTATTTATTCAAAATAAAAGGTCATATCAAACTATGAAGATCAAAATACTGTATAACATAATATATTTCTGGAATAAAAATCTGGGTGGGGCGAGGGTAATAAATTGGACAAAGCAGACAAATCTAGGGTAGGCGGATAAGGGCGCGTTTGTTTCTCTTTAGGGAAAATTTTACAAATATGAGCAAATTGTACTCATTTTTCTAAACTAAGATCGAAGATTAGTGTAAGACTCAACTAAACCAGCATTGACCACAATACTCTTATGTTGGAGACGTACGTGGGGGAAAAGCGTCTCCAGTCGACGACGTACGTCTCTTGAATTGGGGAATTTCAAACTCAATTTACTTAAGCTGAATGGGTAAATTTGGAAACTAATAATTGAGTTTCTTAAAATAAGAGTACATGTGTCACACGGAAGAAACATTAGGGCGTCCTAATTTTATAAAAGTATTATGATTTGTTTCTAGGGACAATTTTCTCTTTATTAAAATGATCAAAACGACCAGGTTCCTTCCTGTCCATTTCAAATGCCCAACAAGATCAGATCTTCATGATTCACTCCCATATCTCCTCTCATCATCCTCTGTATTTGTCCCAACTTTTCCGATCCGTCTTCCCACCGCCATATCTTTCCTCTTCATATTCTCCACTACCATATCTTATATATATATGGGCCGCAATTCTCTCCAATAGTCCAATCCCACAATTGATCTTTAATTTCTTCTTCGACTTGATCGTTCCATACCCAATTTTTTGAAGGAAAAAGAAAATGACCCCTGCAGATTGTCAAAAGTTCCACGTTCTTGCCGTCGACGACAGCATAGTCGACCGGAAACTGATAGAGAGGGTCCTAAAGGCCTGCTCCGGCGACGACGACGTGAAAGTCACGGTGGTGGATTCCGGGGCGAAGGCTCTCCGGGTGTTGAATGAAGTGGGGGTGGATCTGATCATCTCCGATTACAGCATGCCCGGAATGACCGGCTACGATCTGCTGAGGGAGATCAAGGGCTGCCCTGCTTTCAAACACATCCCCGTCGTGATCGTGTCGTCCGAGGATGTTCCTTCCCGGATTAACAACTGCCTGTCGGAGGGCGCGGAGGAGTTCTGCCTGAAACCGGTCCGGCTGTCGGACGTGAAACCGCATCTGCAGAACGCCTGCAAAGGAAGGGCGTCTAGGGGATTGACTTCTTCGATTTGTGGGATTGTTTGATTCGTCCATTTTTGAGGATTTTGAAGAAGTAGTGTGTTAATATAATAATATTGATTGATTGAGAACCGTTTTGCAAGACAGACATTTTCTGCTCCATCCTCTAAATTAGTTGTACGATACAATAAGGTTAATTTTATGTATTTAGAATCTGTTGTCAAGACTTCGGAGTAATAAATTGCAAAAGGAATCGGTGAGCTTAACTCAACTAGTAGCAAGGGAGTGTCACAAGCGTTAGGTTCCCAATTTGAAATGCATTGGACCTCTGCAAGTATCGGGTACAGAGCCTCACTCTCTATCTGTCATATTAGAATTATAGTTCAATTTACATCCTTCCAACGCACTGTTTGATCGGGTTCGGGTCCCTCAACGATGGGGTGTCAATCCTTTTTTATAAATTGCAAAATGCTGACTTAGAATATCGAAGGTTAAAAGTTGTACACTTGAAGTTTAAAGCTTTAGGAAAAGTTAATTCATGTGGGTAATCGAGAAGGGAAGGAGTAAAGGCTGAATGAAATTCCTTCTCATCATTGTAATTTCAAAGAAAATCAGTTCATATAAAGGGTTGATAGCCAATCTCTTGTTAGATTAATTCTATGTAAGGTTACTCGTGTAGTTAAAAACATTTAAATAACAAACATTAACTATAAATACGTACTCCATATAAACTAAGTCATCACAGTCCATATAAATAAAAAGTCAACATAAATTAAAAGTCCTACACAAAAGAAAAAACATGCTCATCGTGAAAATACCATCACCGAAATTTTGTGAAATATCCTCAAATAAACCGTTCATTCGCACTTCATTCTTTAATGAGGGGCATCGAAATCAGAGTTGGCTTCAGAAACTCGAGAAGTCCAACATCGGAAGGTCTGATGAGTTAATACATTGATCCAAAAAGTGGAATCTCCCACCTCAGGAGCCCCCACCCCTATCCGACAAGATAGTGGAGAGGTTAGTCACGTTGACTCAGTCAGCAAAACGGCAGTAGACCCATACACCCGTGCGCATCACAGACCCAACCTTATTTCAGATTCTGTGACCTCCATCTGGTCGCTGCGGGGATTCGAACTTTGGTCCATTGATCTAACTCTCCCACCAGTCGATCAACTGAGCTACCTGTGCGGGTAGGTCTGAGTTAATACATGTTCCATGTAAGTGTTACTCGTATTTCATAAAATCCTAATTGATGTTCATACTAGGGATGGACTTGGGCCGGGTGAACCGAACCGGAACCGGCCCGGTCCACGGTTCGGACCAACCGGCCTGACACTGTAGAGGGCCGGTTCCTGGACCTTGATTTTGATGAACCGGCCCGGCCGGTTCGGGTCCGATTCAGGCCAATTTTTTTTGTGGTTTTCACATTTTTTAAAGGAAAATGGGTTGGACTGGGTGTTTTGGAGGAGTTTGGGGTGTGGGGGAGGGATGGGGGTAGGAAGTAATTAGAAAAAAAATAGGGTGAATCGGCCCGGCCCGTGAACAACCCGGATGAACCGGCCCGAACCGAGTCCATCCCTAGTTTAATTCATACACATACGAGTATTTACTATCCATCTTTTGGCTTTAAATCTCTCCTAAATAATATAGATTGGATCAGGGGCGGAGCGACATGTAAGGATGTGGTGTCAATTGACACCACTCAAATAGTTTTCGCAGTTATATAAATGAAATGTTGCCAATTGACACCATTCAAATATTTTTGTAGTTATATATAAAGGTATTTGATTATAAAAAGTAATTTAACACAACCTCTATAAATGAAATGAGAGTCGAAGTATAAATATATACTTCCTCCGTCTCTTTTTAGTTGCAACAGTCAACATTTCACGTTTGCCAATGTACAACTTTGACCGTGGTTATATTTAATTGTGTATTAGTAAAAATAAAATAAAAATTAGATTATAAAACTTAGTAATGAGACGAATTTAACAACATTTTTCAAAAAAAAAAATTAATTCACATACATTAATAAATAAATGTAGTCAAAGTAAAGTACATGAATATTGTATATATATTCCAATGTTGCAATTAATGAGATACGGAGGATAGTACTACGTATGAAATAATTACATATTCATGACTAAAATTAAAGCTCTTTACTAAAACTGATGTCTTGTGTGTAGTGACAATGACACTATACCATAATACGGAGTAACATTTAATGATAATTTTGTAAATAAGTTTAGTTAAGAAATATTTTTGAAATACTTCTCAAAGTCAAATATACACATATAATATATAACAGAGATCGATTTTGTCATCAACCTGGGCCAATGTATCTATGAAAGCATCATATTTGACCATCAATTCAGATTTTTTTATGGTTTGAATTAAAATTATTATTATTTGAATGATCGAATTTGAAAAAGAAAATGACTTTGTATCATTTTATTATATATTTGAGTTTGTGTGATATGAAACAACTATTTAATTGGTATATTATTATATGATCAAAAAAATTGATGTATTATTATTGGTGATAATTGATACTACCTTCAATGTTGATACTACTACTGATAATTGTCATTAGGACGCGAGAAGGTGTTGCGGTTATTAAGAAAAGTGGTTTATGTGATTGAATTGATAGCATAAAAATAAAGTATAAAATAATTTACAATCAAATAAATTTTACATAATTTGGTATGAGATCATCTTAATGAGACAGATCGAAAAGGAAAGTAGAGACAATCTTAGCGGGACATAGAGAGTATCATGTAAAGTTATTTTCCTCATTTTAAAACCTGAAAATTGACTTGAAAATTGTAGAAGACGCGCATATGATTATCAATAATTTATTTTTAATATCGAGCCATATAGAAGTAGTTTCTAGTTTAAAAAGCTGACACCACTCAAACGAATCGTTGGCTCCGCCCCTGGATTGGATCCAACTAGATTCTCACCCGCGCGATGCGCGGACGAAATTTTACAAATCTGTGTTTAAGAATTTTATTATAAAAGCGCTAAAATAATTGAACTCATAATAAAGTGGTAAGTAATATAATAAGTGTTCGTTTTTAAGAGAGAGATAACATTTCAATGTATGAAGTGGTGATCAAACTAATAAGTGTTCATAGTGGAACTATAAATTTTGAAAGACTTCTTTGTAAACAACATTAGTAGTATGATCGATTTGTTTGCCATCTTCATCACAGATCAATATTTTGAAGCCTTTGCGATTGGTAACTCTTGACGCTGGAACGTAAAGTTGACCATGAGTGAAGCCTGTTTTTTTTTTTTAGTAAAAGTCCAACATGCGTTAGAGATTGTCCTTGACTCTTGTTTATAGTCATCGCATAAGACACCATGATTGGAAATTGCCTTCTTTGGAACTTGAATGGTATTCTTGCATCTCAAGGTGTTAATGTCAATCTCGGTATGACTACTTCTTGACCATAATATTTTCCTCCAAAAATTGTAGCTCTAAGAACATGATTTCCAAGCATTGTAATAATTAACCTCGTTCCATTGTCTAAGCCCATAGAATGATCAATGTTCCTCAGAAGCATATCTGGAGTACCTACCTTTAGAGTCAACTCATGATTTGGAACACCGGATGCACGTATCTTATTCAAGAACTCGGGTGTATACAAATCAGCCAAAATATCACAATTTCAATGCAGTCATTTACTCATTAATTGAGTCAACAACATCAAGCGTCGGGGCCAAAATAGCACGTTCTCTTAGGAACGACAGGTCAATAGGCATAGCTTCAAAATCAGGATACGTACTGCGTACAATTGTTGCAATAGGGTCTTCATCACTTTGAAGAAAAATGTCACTTGGTATTTGTATATCAGCACATCCATCATTTTCACCACCTGATGTTCCATCTCCCAAACTTGCTATCCACTCAGCAAACTCAACCAAGTCGGCATAATCACGATTGTCTCTTAACGATTGTAGTCTCATGTTCTTTGTTAAGCGTAAAATAATGCAGTCTTGCCATATGTATGAAGAATTAATTGTGGCATTAACTATGTCTTGTCTTGTACCTTTTGTAATCACCTCCAAAGACAATAGTTTTTCCTCCAAACGACTTATCATTATTTCGAGGATCAACAACCGTGAGAATGTCACACATACTTCTGTCCAAAGCTTCAAAACAAAATTTATGCATCATCGGTGCCTCATCCCAAATAATAAGCTTACACCTAATTATCAATTGGGCTAGTGGACTGTTTTATTTGATGTTTCATGTTGAATGCTCAGTTGGGTTGATTGGTATTGCAAAACGTGAGTGAACAGTTCTACCACCAGGCAATAATAATGAAGCAATCCCACTTGAAGTCACATTTAAAACAATTTCACCGTTTGACCTCAAAGCTGCTGACAACGTTTTCAAAATAAACGTTTTGCATGTACCCCGTACTCATATACAAAGAACACTCCACCCTTGTTCTCTTCAATGAATTCCATAATAGTCTTGTACACTTCACTTTGCTTCTCATTCAAACTCTCCATGCATTTTTCATGTTGTTCGAGCATCTCGGCATGATCATATTGTAACTCGTCAAAAATAAATCTGTTCTGAAACATTGTTGCGTTACTGCACTTAGGAAATGGCATTGATGGGTAGTCCCTTAGGCTTCTTCCCCGAGTCCTCAACATTGTTTCGATTTCAAGCAATGCATAATTCTTGATTTCGTCTTCCGTCAACATTAATTCTACAATAACAAATATTTTTCATTTAATTCCACAACAGTTTTATTTAACATTTTAAAAACAGAAGTCGGATGAAAAAATACTCCAGTAGAATGTTTTAATAACCTGGATGTAGCAAAGCTCGTCGTTGTCTCAGTAGAATGTCGTCAAACATGAAATTCCAACATTTCTCTCAAACGTATTCAGGTCTTCTCATTGTATCTGCTAATAACAATATGACAAATAGAACTCTTAGTCCCCATGCTGAAGCCCAAAAACTACAATCCGTAAAACCTTCGACGTACTCTCGATCATCGTCCAACAAACCCAATGCGTAACATGTCTCACAATATGAATCATAACAAACCCCGTCAACAGTCCGTAAATCGGTGAAACACGTAGCACCACGCTTTAAATTAAGGATACATATGACTATAAATTTTCCCAGTACCTATTCATATTTTAAAA